CTCCCTTGTGTGTCCCTCAGCTCCTGCACATTTTCTGTCTTTGCCATTTGCCTTTATTTTCTGGCTTATTCTTTATATTTAACTTTCAGTTTGCTGAATCTTTCTGCAGCCGGTTCTAAACTGCTGATTTACTTATAGTTAAATTTGTGATGGTTCTATTTTTACTTTGTTCATCTTTTAGTTTGTTGTGTTTTTTAGTTTGTTGATCTTTTAATTTGCTTGTTATTTCTTTTTCTTTTTCTTGGTATCAGGAATCAAACTCAGGACCTTGTACTTGCGAGGCAGGTGGCAGAACTACTGAGCTAAATCCTCGGCCCTATTTCTTATATTTTTTACTTAACTAATAAGTTAAATTCCTTTATTGTTATAAGTGTCTTATGTACTGTAGGTTTTATTTGCCTTGTTTTGTGTTCTTGGTCCATTTTCATTTGTATCCTGTGAATTTTAAGGATGAACTTCATATTTTGATTCTTGTGTTTGGGGTTTATTTGCTTCATGGATTGCATTTCTGCCTCCACAGCAGGGACTAGAGTTGGTGCCTGCCTTTGTGTGTGTACATAGCTGGTCTGGATAGACAAAGATGCTGCATAGATACTGTCTGTGTCTCTGCCTGGGGTTTTTCAACTCCCAGGTTTTATGAGTGTAGGCTTGTGGTCACATATTCTCAATGCTGGATTTTTGTGGATTTTCTCATCAGGCCTGTCTTGTGACTGTAGAAGTCTGTCACCAACTTTCAGGCTGTGGATCATGGCTGTTCTGCCCATGTTCCCTCGCCTGATCATCTACCCTGCTCAGGCACTACACTTACTGCCTTTGCCCTGCACAAGGGCCAGTTACACACCAAATCTACCCCAGGGATTTGCAGCTGCTCCCTAAGGAGGTTCATGACATCTACACTCATGAAGACCTAGGTCAGAGGCTGCCTGGAGTCCTTGCCCTGTGAGGTCCATGGAATACAAGAGGTGTGTTCCACATGTGAGAGACTTGGGTAGATGGCCTATCCCACCAAATTGGGGGTGGGACCAACACAGTGTAGATGTTCCCTGGTGTGGCTTATCACCTTCAGTGCCTGTAGTCAGAGCTGGGGACCCATGAAAGATAGCTCTTCTAACTCAGAAAGCTGGCTTTGCTCATGTCTGGAGCACCCCCCATGGAGGGATGTATCTGCTTCTTAGTGAGTGCTGGAAAGAAATGGCCCAGATAGAGGTGACACTGGAAGTCCTCCTAGGCCAAGCCCTTCCTAGGCCCCTCTGTAGGTGTTTAAGCCTCATGCTGTGTGGGCTGGTCTGTCTGGAACCTGGGCTCCAGGTCAGGTACCTTTCCCCAGGGCTCAGGTCCCTTGGGGCAGTTGCAGCTGATTAGAGGAAGCTCCTCAAATGTCGGCTCCAGATTGTAGCTGTGCGGATGCCACGGAGCCCTGTCCCACAAATAAGCTATTGCTCTCTCCATGTCCTCCCTACTTTCTGGAACTTCTTTGTTATACTTTATATCTAGATGTCTCCTCCAAAGCCTCATGCGCTCATAGGTGGGGCTTTTGGGAGTGACTGAATTATTGGGTGCGTGATACTGGGTTAGTCCACTGATTGGCTTAGCATAGTTTTGGGTATGTTGATAGGCTTACCCAAGAGGGAAGACCACCCTGGTTGTGGGTGGTACCAACCAGTAGGCTTGTAGTCTGAATGGAATAAAAAGGTAAAGAAGAAGAAAGTCTCACTGCTTCCTGTCTGCCTTGCCATGGACTATTTCTCCTCTGCCATGCCCTTCTACTGCAGTGCCCTGCCTTAGAGCCAGCTGACTATGGACTTAAACCCCCACAGAGTGAGATGAAATAAACCTTTCCTCCTTTAACTTGTAGATTTCAGGTGTTTTAGCCCAGCAGCAATGAGGAAGTAACTAGAAACTCTTTCTCCTGATATTGACGTTGAGAGAACCTGTCATGCAGTGTCCAGTGCTGGGCCACTCATGTTCCTGGGTATCCATGCACTTGACCTGCAGGAAGTGGCCTTGGGCTGGTGCCTGGGGGCCTGGGACCCAGGAGCAACCCTGGTTTTAGAGGTGGGCGCAGAGCCTTGAAAATTCTCTTGCAGCAAGAGGCAGGTAAGCAGAGCTGCTGTGTTGCGACAGGCTGATGGTGTGACCAGAGCCCTGAGCAAGCAAGGAGGCTTTGGGGCTGGAGTAGGGAGCCACTGTAACCCACCCTCCCCGCCATTACATTTATGTGATGTACCTGTGGTCTTCAGAATGTGCCCAGATATTGACTTGTTAGTTTCATGTAGGCCACAGCAGTCTCAGGTGGCCAGTGTCTCCTGTGCTCTTTATAATTTGTTTTAATTTGAGTTTATAAATGGGTAGACATGCTGTTTCCCCTCCCTTGTGTGTGCTCTTCAGCCTCTGGCCAGCCTCCTTCCTGGGAGGCCCTGAACTCTGGTGCTAGCAGCTCAGATGGAACCAGAGGCATAGAGGTCTTCTGCTGGTTTCTTCATAAGCAAGATTATGTGCTCTAGACTCTGACTCTTTCAGTTGCCATCAGTCATGTGACAGGCATTACAGGACTGTCTGTACCCAGGAGATGCACTCAGTGGAAAGTGTCATTTTGTTTTGTACTTCCTGAGCAAGTCTTTAAGGTTCTGTCGGCACCGCCTGGGTGCCCGTTTGTGCAGCGATTAATCGCAGGCATTTGCTCAAGTGGAAACAAAGCGAACTCAACTGCAAGTGGAATCAATCATTAAAAAGTCATTACCAAATCACACCAGCCCAGTGCCTGCTCCTCTACTAATGGCAAAACAATTTCTTGAAAGGGTACAAACAACAAACTTCTTGCATAGTATTTTTCTTCCTTGCCAGCCATTGCTAGCCTGGAGATGTAACAGAAGAGAACTCTAGTGAAGGGCAGCATTTTCGAGATTTATTGGTCAATAAAGGAGACAATTACAGCTTGTTTATGGAAGGAAATCCCCCGCCCTGGCCTCTTGCGGCATTGACAGTCTGGTAATGATAACTTGGGTAACCAGCTCAAAACGATAAAAGTCAATAGGAAGATATAGGATTTCAATAAAATTATGACACTTCATAAACTTTCCTGTGGAAACAAATTTTCCCTGGATATGTGACCAGTTCCAGTTGGATTTGTAACTTTAATTTCTTACTTATTGAATTTTTTGTCATCAACTAATTACGCAGTCCATGCTGGGTGACAACCACAAGCCTCAGTTCCTTGTGAGGGAAGAGGCCAGACATGGCAGCCTGAGGCCCCGTGCCCTCAGCGCAAGCGTGAGGAGGTAGGGGTCTTTTTATACCTTAGTGCCCTCCCTGTCCCACTTGCAAGGGAAGAACCTAGGTAGGGGCAACCGACAGTGTGGGTGCTCAGATTGCTGAGCTGTCAGGTTGGCCTCTTTCAGGGTACATGGTTGCACTTCTGCCTGTGAGGATGCAGAGAATGCTGTATGGAAAGGGCCCCAGCTTCTGAGAGAGGCCTTGCTCCCAGGTGGGCTAAGTAAATAGGTCTCCATCAGGGTTGGGAACATGCCTAGTTGGGAGCAGTGCTGGTGCCAGTGGACCCTGCAGCTCACCAGAGGGGGAAGTCACCAGCCAGGGACCCAGTGAGGTCGTGTGGGGCTGCCTGTCATTCAGCTCCCTTCTCAGGATATGTGTGTGGGGGAGACAGGGTATGCCAATTAGCAGGTAGGACCTGCTTCCTAGCTCCATAACTGGCCCTGATGACCAGCTTTAATACAGTTCTGTCACTTGATGGGCACCTTCTTTACAGGGCAGCTTGCCAGATACTTAGGCCATGGCAGTATTGACTCCGCAGCTGTCCTCACTGCCATCTTACTAAGGAAGAAACTGAGACTCAGTTGATTATAGACAGCTGACCTCAGAGCAGAGTGGGTTTGAACCTGGGACATGTAGCGCCAGCGTCCTCACTACTGACTCCCAGATTGGTGTGCTCAGAGCCAGGCACAGGCACACACCAAAGTGCCAGTGAGAAGTGCTTGGTTGGCCTCCCAGACTTGCATTGTCTGTCACACCCACCTCCTGCCAGGCTGCTGAGCTGTGTATGCATGCACAAGAGGGTGGAAGAGCTATGCTGATGTCCACTGGGGGTGGGTTAGCTGGGGGTGGGTTCTGGCCTGGCCTGGATCTCCTAGGGCTGGGCCTCCTGAACCTAGGTGGGGCATCTAGGGCCTGAGGAACCTAGTGGCTCTGAGCTGTTAGGTCCACATCTGAGAACCCCCATCAGGGAAGAGGAGAACTCAACAAGCAGCTGCGGGAGACCAGGTTTTCCTGGCCAGGCCACATGCCTCACACAGCCTGAAGTGGAGTCCAGCTCCTACCTGGAGGATCCTCTCTGCTGGTCTAGCAGAAGACTTGCCCCTTTGGGTTCATGTGACAAATGCTCCCGCATTCGAAGGAGAAATCTGTCCCAGTCCTGTCCCAGTTGCCAGTCCCTGGCTTGCTGGCTCCAAGTTACTTCTGACTCTTTGGTTATCTGTCATCCCAGGGAAATAGACCTGGGCTTCACAAAATACCCTGAGAGGGAGTAGGGTGCTGGGCATGGCTGGTGGCCTCATCCATGAGCTCTGTGGGTGGACAAGGTGCCTGTTAAGATCACAGAGATTTCAGGTGGAGCTGGCTTTCGGGGAGCTTGGGGTAGTAGGTTTCTCACCTCAGTGGGACACTGTGGCGTTCCTGCTCTACTGGATCCTCATTCATCATGCTGCTAGTTTGTGTCCTTGCTTTGAGTGTCACTGGTCAGAGGTTTAGCAGCAAGGGGGTATCCAGCCTGGCACCGAGGCCAGGGACAGGCTCTTGGGAAAGCACCCAGGCCTCTCGTCTCTGGTGGGCCATTTGGAGGAAGGCACTATTGGCAGTACATGGGGGCCTAAGTCCTGAGCAACTTGAGGTGTCTCTTCTGTCTTCACCAGACTTCTATATTTGTGCTCCTTCCAGCCATCCCCAGGGTCTCCTCTCCACTCTGACCAGTTGCCCTCTGCCCACAGGAGCGGGACGGCATGCGTGCCATCCTGGGGTCCTATGACAGCGAGCTTACCCAGGCTGAGTACTCGCCCCAGCTGACACGCCGCATGCGGGAGGCAGAGGACATGGTGCAGAAGGTGCATGCCCACAGCTCGGAGATGGAGGTGGGTCTGGTGAAGGGCAGTCAGCTGTGGGGACCATGAAGCCTGGCGGTGGGGTTCGGGGAAGGCACGGCTGGTGATTGGTAGTTTGCACATGGGGTATACTTTAATTCTCGTGGTGGTATTGTGCAGCCAGCACATCCCAGGCAGCTCCATCCAGCAGGTAGGTGATGGGGGGTCAGTATGAGGCTTTGCTGGGGCCTGAAGAGCTGACTAGAGGTGGTGTTGCCCTCATGCTGCATCACTAGGGAGCAGATCCTTCTCACCATGTGCTGTTATGTCCCTATCTGAGGCTGCCAGTGTCCCCCAGGGAAGGGGCTGTCTCAGTCTGTGTCCTCTCTCTTTACCCCATTGCACCCAGCACTATTCTGTGGTCTTCTGTGAAGTCTTTTGCCCTCTTCTAGTGATGTGTGGACATAGGAACAGTCCAGCTCTGAAGAGCCTGCCTCCCAGACCCTGTGGTGCCGTGGGCCTCCTGCTTAGCTCAGGGCTGTGTGCTACCATCTCCGCACACCTATGGCTTCCTGGGTGGCTTGCATGGCTCTGAGCTCCTACCTGCTTGGTGAGCCTGGGGCCTGAGGATGTGTCATTGTGGGGGTTACGGCTCCCCAACAAACCATCCTTTCCTTAGTAGAAAGGAAGAGCAGCTTGCTCACTGCCCTGCAGGCACAGCATAGCCCTTCTGGGAAAGGTGGGATCCCTGGCCTTGAACACAGGCAGGGCTTCCTAGATGCCAGGAAAAGTGCCGTAGGTGTGGTGACTGACACCACTGGTTCCTGCACCAGCCCTTTGTTGCCAACATCCAGTGCTGCTCTCATTGTGTCCCCAGAAGCAGGAGTTGTTCTTACCCTGGGTTTACTAATGAGGAAGCTGAAGCACAGGGTCCAGGGCCATGCCTGGGTCACAGATGGCACAGGTGATGCCAGGCCAGAAACATGGGTCTGCAGGCCTTGGTGCTCTAGCTCTGGGCCATATGCTGCACCCTTTCTCCTGCGTTCTGAGCTGTCTGAAGCACAGCCTGTAGCCTGTGGTCCTGGGCTCCCTCTGATGGTGGTGGTATGAGGAGATGCAGAGAGAGATGCTGGCGTGGACCATGGTCACTCAGTCCCAGCAGCTGTGTCTTCTCTTCATTCAACGAGGATGTGTGGGTCACCTCTGATTTTCTGGCTGGAGAGATGGCCTGGGTCCACCAGGGTCATGTCCCAACTGCAGCCAGGCCCCTACCAGGGGAGTCTGGTGGAGCCCCTGCCCCTTTGGAGCTGAGCTTCCAGGTGGGGAAGACATATAATAAGCTTGCCACTGGTGTTGCTGAGTTGTCAAGTAGGGGGCTCCAGTGAGGGAGCAGTCAGGGAGCTGTGCTGCTGTGCTCCCTGGGAGCTGGTATGGCTGTGGATGGCGGCTGTGTGTGCTTAGTGCACCTGTAGTCATCAGGTCACCCAGGGGCCAAGGGAGGAGTGTGGGGCAGGGGCTTGGGCTATACCAGCTCCATGATGAAGAGCATCTGACCAGGCTGCCCTCCCACACACTCCTTCTCTCTCCTGCTTGCACTGAGGCTGTGCAGGCCCTGGGAGCTGTGCTGTATCCCTGTCTGGAGGGGGATTGTCCGACCTCATGGACACTCTTCGCACGGTGTGCCCCAAGAGTGAGTGACATGTTCAGGTCCTGTGCAGCACCCTGAGCCCCACTGTGCGGCTGGGGGCTCGTCCTGCTGCCACTAACCAGCGTCTGGTGGCCAGAAGTGGGCCCTGCTGTGAACAGCTCCACGTACACCTTCCATCCTCATCTAAAAGGTTAACTCCAGCTGCACCGAGTGAAATCATCATAAATTTAAGTGTGTTAATAGCTATTTTATTACAACACATTTGGCTCCATATGAAGCGTTAATGAAGAGAGATTTGCAGGGAAGGCTCTTGGACACCTTCCATTGTCCCAGAATTTCTCACATTGAGGAATCCCCATTTGCACTGGCCATATGCACCCCATACCAGTCATTAGGAGCCCCATGGTTTGTGCACAGCTGTACCATATGCTCTGTGCTCTTTTGTGTGATTAGGGCAATTGGTGACTTCAATACTTGTATACAGACATGCTCAATCTGTGCCTTGGGGACAGCTTGGCAGGCCTCAGCCTCCCCCTGCTTGTGGGTATATTGGGGACCCTTCTCCCTCCCATGGTGGGACATGAAGATGGCAGATTACTGTCCTTCTTTGCCTCTAGAGTTATGGGAGAGTTGGGAGGTAGCGGCTCAGAGACCCAGCCTCTGTAGGGTACAGTCTTCCAACAACTGTTCCTCTCATCACCATTACTGGTGGGGTCCTGGGGCCAGTCAAGTATGGGTTGGGGCTGAGGAGCTGCCCTGTCCCCTCACCTGAAGTCCCCACACGGCCTTTTTCTCATGGGGACAGGCACTGTGTCTTCCCCCTAGCCTCTGTTCTCTGGATCCAGGCTGTGTTGGGATGGACACATCCCTAGGCATGCTCTGAACCCACCCCCAGGGATGCTAGTCACTGCCTGCTGCCTGGAAGCCAAGGAGTACCATCTGCTCCCACAGCCTGACTTGGCACCCAGCCTCTGAATTCAGACTTACCCACTTACTGCAGAAGCTTCCCTCCTAGGTTGTGCTGCACCTTGGGGAAGGGAAGCCAGAGGAGTGCAGCCACAGCCCATTGGGGATGGAGAGTGGTTGAACTCAGTGTGCTCTGGGGATCCTGCTTGGCTGCTTATAGAGTCCTGCCTAGATACCTGGCTCTAAGAGAGAAGCTGTGAGCCTCTTGCCTCCACCAGGTGGCAGCAGACAGGTCCATGGTTTACTCCTGGGCCTAGGGAAGACCAGCCAAGTGTGGGGATAGGGCATGTCCAGGAGAGACCTAGCCTAGGACAGAGTTAGGTGGATCCAAGGGGGGCCTGGCCTGGGACAGGGTGGGGCAGGTTCAAGAAAGCCAGCCTAGGATGGGGTAAGATGGGTCCGAGAGCCCTGCAGCTGGGGAGTGGTCCAATGTGGAGGAAGATCAGAGGGAGGTAGGGATCCCGCCTTGTCTCCTCAAAGTCCTGTGCTAGGTTGAAGGATGCTGTCTCTCCTCTGCCTCCCCTGTTTGGGCCATTGCCCACTGTTCAAGGAGGAGTAAGATGGGGAAGCAGCCATGTCTGGAGCCAAGTGCTTGGTCGTGGCTGGCTGGGGAGGAGCCACCTACTGAATGTCAAGGAGGCAGCTGGGGGTCTAAGAACCCCAAGAGGCTGGAAGGGACCCAGGTTAGCACCCTGCTGGATACAGTGCTGCTCATAAGAGGCATCCTGCAGTTACATCTTGTGGGGCATTTGTGCTAGGTGATGTAGGACTGATAGGGTGTGAGATTCAAGAACCCTACAGGTACTCTACCTTCTAAGAGATCTGTTTCTGCTCACTTCCCGGTGACACAGTCTTATCCTTGCAGAGAGATAGTTCAGCTGAGTAGGAGCAGGATTTGGGATAAATGTGTCCATGATGATGGAGTGAGGGCCAGTGGCATGGAGGGATTTCTCTCAAAATTGGGTGACATCACAGAAGTACCATGTGCAGCGAAACACCTGGTGAACTGGTTTTCCCACATTTTATAGAGGGGATAACTGTAAAGTGGACATGTAGTATAGAAGTGAAGAAATCAGGAAAGCACATGAAACTCAGGCTAGTCCTTGTGCCATCCAGCCAGAGGCCCTGCCTGGGCATGGGGTCCTTCCTGCCTGAATTGTGAGCAGGTAAATGGGGCCGCAGTAAGCATGGCTCTAGACATGGCTCCATGGGTAACTCTGAAAGTGTTGGAACCGCAGAGGACAGATCTCATCTGTCACTCATCTGTGGGTGGTGCTGCAAGGGTCCTCGAGGTCCCTAAACTTATGTAACTTCTTATGGTGTGTTAATGTGCACACTCAGGCAGCACAAAGTGGCCTTGCAGCTTGCTTAGCCTGAGGAGTTTCCAAAGTTTCTGACTTGTGAAAAGTTACTATTTAATAAAATAATCAAAACACCCACCCACCAAAGCCTCCAAGGGCACAAGACAGTTGTCCTACACGAAGCCTTCTCCTTCTCACACCACCCTGGAAGGCCTCTGCAGCCCAGCTGGCCTGGGTGAGCCTCTGCCCTCTGCCTCTGAGGTGCATCCCTCAGCAGGAGGCCATCCAGGGGTACCTGGCTACAGGCAGCTTCTCAGAGGTCCTGGCTATTAGAGGGCCCTGGCTCATGGTCTCCCCACCGAATTAAATTAGGAAGAGGGAGAACCTGGCCACAAGCAGGTTAACAAAGGAAAGGAAGGGCCAGGTAGAAGCATGGGGTCTGGTGAAAGTTGGGGTGATGCCCTGTGTGAAGTGGGTGTGAAAGATGCTGCCCCTCGGTCCTTATCACTGAGGTGAGGAAAGCCACTCAGAGCTAGAGAACCAAGGAAGTGCACTCATAGAAGCTGTGGGGTGGGAGATTATGCTCCCCATGCCTGACTGCTAATTCAGGCCCACCCTGCTTGCTAGAACCAGCACCACACCCAGCCTGGGATCCTCAGCTAGAACCCCCTACTGTCTCCAGCCTGACATGGACACACTGGCTTGTGAGCCTTGTTTTGCGCCCTGAGGTCCAGCAGGCATTCCTGACCCCCTCAAACCACTTCTTCATGCTGATTCATTAGTCAAGATGACGGACATCGCCTTTCACACAGCCCTGGCTTGCAAATGCTGGGCTGTGGGCTGCGCAGTCTCATCCATCTTTGCACCAGCCACGTGGGGCAAGGCAGAGCCTCCCTTTTGCAGTGGAGAAAGCTAGGCTCAGTGTGGAGGAGAGTGGCCTGAGGCAGACCTTCCTGTGTGTCACTGTCCCTCGGCTACCCCCAACCCTGCATCATGGCCTGGCCCAGGGGACCCTGGTAGATGGCAGCGCAACTCTGCAGTCCTGACAAGGCCTAACCTGTTGCTGGGGATGGCAGGGCTTGTGCCCTTGGAGGCTTTGGTGGGTGGGTGTTTTGATTATTTTATTAAATAGTAAC